CTGTATGATGTATGTTTCATCTAGAGAAATGCCATGAAAATTATTGATCTTTAAAGAAAAGAAATTGAGTCCATAGCATCTCTAAACAGCCAAACTGGAGAACATTGAATCTTGGCATGATTGCATAAGAAGAGAGTTTGTTCCCATAATCCTAACACACAAAACATTGGTTGAACCAAGGCTAGCTTCCTGAACGATTTGCCGAACATAAGTGCTTTGAACACAAAGTGTTACTTTATGTCTGGGAGAATTTTGTTGTTATAATCCACTAAAAGGTGGGTGTCAGTCACTTGACTGGAGCCCACCTTTTAGTGGACTTGACAGTTCTCGTGTAAAGTAATTATTCCAGGCAGAGCTAAATGAACATACAGAAAGATGCTTAAGTACTAAAGAAAAGGAACAAAAATTTCTCATTGCCAGAGTTACCATGGAATGGTGCAGCTAAACCAAGCTGCAAAAATAAGAAATAGAAGAAACAAGAATAGTTGTTTATGGAGGCGAGAAAAATCTCTATAAGTGCTTTAGACCTCTAAAAGTCCTTCCTCTTTAAGTCTCGATACAGCTTCGTTGTCAGAGTAAGAGTTACATTTTAAAAACCAATTTAATGATTTCAACTGCATAGGTAAATGGTTCCGAGAATAAAAATATTATTGCCTAGTGATGTCATCTGGTGGCTTTAATATAAACTATTTCTACATTTTAAATATAATTTTAAAAATTTGATACGAGAAACTTTTATTAATATTATTGAGTTTACAGAATTCCAAAACTCCGGGTTCAACATACTTGGAAAATTTAGGCATATGGCTTCAAGATATCTGCAGCTCTAATCATCCGGATCTGTAGATACTCTGCCGTAAAATTAAATTTATTGATTCATTTAAATGTCTTCATTTTTATATAATATGAAAATAATCCACAAACAATACGCATTATCTCTACGTAGATAATAAATTAATTTAGATGAATGTGTGTGATATTCACAAAGGAAGCTTTTTGTTTATTTTTATAATACTTTATGATAAACTGTAAGTGCAAAGTGCAAAAGTTTAATAATATATATTATTTTGTATATTTTATCATTTTTTATGTCATGTCATAGTTTAAATTTTACTAAATAGAGACAGATTATGAGTTTTAATTTACATTAAAAAAAAGTTCCTTTTGCATGATTTGAGTATATTAAAAATGAAAACAAGTTTATGAGTATAGTTTGAGGGCCTTTGTTAATAAAAATTGATTACCTCATTTTAATTCAACTGAAATAAAATGTATAGTGTATTTAGACGAATAAAACAAATTTGCTTATTTTCACTGGAAAACTTGCGCTTTGCATTTCGTTTTGTAGGGAAGGAAAATTAAATGACTGTTTTTGGCTGAAGTAGAATATGAATTAAAAAAAAACTGCTTTACAGTAAATTTATGCTTAGGCTGACAGAAAAAGACTCGCTCGTTATCCAGATATTTAGATTAACAGGATCGTTCTGGTTAGTCAAATCCAGGTCGTTTCATTATTCTGTTTCATTAAAACTGACTGATCATGGTCAGTTTAATGAAATAGAACTCCATATGGATTTAGATGGCTGATCACAGCCAAATTTGAAAATTGTAGTGAAAGTTGAAGAATATATCCGTCAATTCCGCTGCAAAGCATATGAGAAAAACTAAATTGTTAATTGATAGTCAGATAGAAGAATATGAGAAAAACTAAATTGTTAATTGATAGTCAGATAGAAAATTATATTGGTGTCCTTATTCTATTCGCGACGAATAGAAGCAACATTTGAGCCTTCATATTTAAGATTCGAGAGACTTGAGCAATTTTTTAAAAGACCTCTTGTACAATCGGCTAATGTAATGAAGTAAATGTATATCATCGCAAATAATGCATTAAAAATAAATTACATTAAATAAAAAATTAGGATGATAAACATGTTTTATATTTTCATTAGTTTCTAAATGACAATCAGCCACCGAGTCCTCTTAGCCTCTGTATTGATCATCTAAATGCCATGAGACTGCTTCTTCCCACATTGCTAAACATTTTGAAAAATTAATCGTTATTCTCCTCAAATCTCATACGAAATGTTAAATTCTATGCGGCCTAATTTGATAGAATCCAGATGTAATGATTAAAACTATCAAAGAAGAAATTATGTGAGCAAAAGTCACAAAGCTTTACAGTTCTTCAATCTGTAACAGATGTGAAATACTAGCAGAAAAATTTGTTACCTCCAGTCTAAGTTTAAATCCTTCAATGAAAGCTTTTCCTTCTACGTGTAAAAAATGCATTAAGAATTTCTTTTTTTAAATTTTCTCATAGTGAATGAAGGTCTTTCCATACCGTGATCTTAGACAGCGTTATGGCAATACTTAGACTTTAAATTATAGTCTTTAAAATTGAGTGCTATTGTTGAAGTAATACCAGGAACTAAAAATTTTTATGAACTAATTTTAGAGCTTTCTCTGCAGTTATTCTTTGCGAATATCTTTTATGAATTTGAAATAAATGCAAACAAGCTTGAAAAATGATCAAGAACAGGGAGTATATTTGTCACATTACGTCTTTAGTCAGACGTATTTGACAATCGTATCATTAATTTTACTCAAGAAGCGGAGAATAGATCCAATGCACACGATTTCAAATGGAGAAATGTCGATAAAAGTTAAAAGAAAATATTCTTTAAACATTTTCAGTTACGTAATGAAGTAAGTTTTGCCACAATACAAATAATTCTGTCTTTTATTAACCAGATCTAGACTTATTAACTGCCTTTTATTAACTATTAATGTGATAGCTTCTTTTAAACATTTTTCTTGTAGTTCACAAAATTCACAGTGAGATAATTTATATGTAAATTATCCTTAATATTTTTCTGTGAAACTGTCTTTGATAAATGAGATGTTCTTCAAGAATTGTTGATCGTAAATAGAAGCATTTGAAAACGTGTTGTTTAAAATATTTTCACCAAATTATTTCAAAATATTATGGAAAGATGTAAATTTTTTGTAAAACTTTTCAGTCTTTATCTCTGAAACAAATCTTAACGTCAGCGTACCAAATGTCAGAAATTTTATTGCCGTTCATTTTCATTTTCGTAGTTTAAAGAAATCTCCACAAGTTCGTTTTTTGGAATTACTTATATCACGGATAAGTCATCATCGTGTTTTTTTAGCTGCACAAATCTTACTGCATGGAGAGAGACAGAAATATGGTCATACATTTGATTGCATTATGTGATGGTACTATTATTGTTATGGAAGGTGAGATAGCGTCATTAAGAAAGACAAATTCTTCATTTGAATGAAGGGCCGTATACAACAGTACCAACCACAGTCATTTAATTTCTTTTCCCTCTTAAGCTATTAGCGAAAGTTTCTACGATCATTACCTATATTACTGCGTCGGTGCTACTGCGAGCTCTTCCATAAGGTTTTCTTTTCTTTACATTTTTCGTTGTAAGCAGTCATTTTCTCCACTTTCTAAGAGATTTTACTTTTAAATCACACTTCACCAGTCTCACTGCCTCTCGATCATTCTGATATGCAATAATCCTTGTCGCAACTGTAACTTGTTACTTTATGTTCACCGGCATCTTAGCTAATGATTCACTCTAATAACTCGGGCTCTGATAACTCTGATAACTCGGGCTCTTGATTCATATTTGAAATGAAAAGAGAGTATTTCAGATTTAATACACTATGTTCATTTCCATCTACAATATATAGTAATCCACAACATTTACTTAAAACAGTTATAATTCTAACTCATCCTCTAGTTAATGTATGATTTGGTACCTAACCCCCCCCTAAATGTTAATGGACTTTGTAATGAATGGTCCTTTTTGGAGGGGAATAACGAGATCCACATTTTCTACAACTATTTTCTTATTAAATGCTGAATTTTGCTTGCAACATTTATGATATTTAAGATATCGTACAATATTCTGCTAAAATTGCTCCGTAGATATTAAATATTAGTACAGCGAAAATATTTAAATGAACTAGTTTCGCAAACTTAACTCAGCCTGAGTTATAGTACGAATATCTTTAGTATTTAGTTTTACCTTCTGAAGTTTCCGAAAGAACTTCATAAATTTTCCTGACGTTATTTTTAAGCGATTTTTATTGCGTCAATTCTTTGTTCCTTTTTATAGCAGCAGAAAGCGGCTTTATACTTAATTTACTTTTTTAATAACGCCCAAGGTTTTATGCATGCTAAAAATAGCTTCAGTACTTACAAGATTTATGTTTACAGAATTTTGGGTACTAAATGGGAATAATTTTCCGGAGAGACAAATCCACGCATCTGGGTATGTAAACAGATATATTTCTTATACGTGGGGTCGATGAACGGGATTCTCCCAAGTGCTGTGTGTGGTGTGGACTAAGAACGAACAAAATTACTGTTCCTTTTTTTTCCTTCTCAGAATCCACTGTAATTACTGTAATTTATTTGAACATACTACAAATTTACTCTATGCTCAAATGTTAGATAAAAAAAGCTTTCCAGCCTGGTGGGGAGCCATGTAATTTTAACTAACGAGAATGGACGTTTCCTGGATGAGCAGTTCAATACTCTAACTGAAAGAGGATTACTATTCATAAGAAGAGCCAAATGATCATCGGGCTTTTTCTCGAGAGGGGGAAGAGGTTTAAGCATCAAGTATTTGCTACACAGGGGCTCAATATTTTCAAGCCTTTCACGGAAGCATTTAAATTTTAACAAATAAAGGAAAATAACATGCCCTTCAAAGTAAATCGACTGAGACAGCTCAGACCGTGAAGCTAATGCTGCGCATCTTGAAGTCTACTAAATTTACTTCTCTACTCTCCCCCCCCCACAAATTCTTAGTATATATATGTAAAATTTTGGAAATAAATCATAGCAAGTAAAAAATATGTGATATTTTTCATTTTTATAACCCTAAAAGGAGCACTTTGTATTTCGTTATATCTATATTTTCAATGCAGGTAAATATAAATAATTTTCAACAGCATTTATATTTATTTATTTATTACAAAATATTACATTTATTCTGATATACAATGAAAAAAAAAACCCTATAAAATTCCTGTCCCTTTTATTGTGAAATAAATAGTAAAAAAAAAAAATTTTTATTGCGCGTTGATACACGGCAATATTACAGGAGATTATAGAAGCAAAATTCCGTGCTTGTAAGCAAATAGTTCAGGGTATACTTGTGAAGATTTTTTAATACATGAATGCATTTGATAATTATATTCATTGCCTTACAGTTGAGAATTTTTTAAAATCTTTTTCTTAGTTTCTCTGACAGAAAAATCGCAAGAATGGACACTTTAATTTTTGTCTTCACTTCCTTTTAAAAGTATATATGTCTTTCGAAGACGCCTGAGAAAGCTCACTAAATAAATTATAAGTTCATCTAAATGATCAAATTCTTCAACATCGTCATTTTCAGAATCCACAGGAATGGCCACGTATGAGGATTTCCTTTCTAAGGGCTTAATGTCTTCTACACCACTACAACTCTGTCTTGCCGTAGAGTGGCTGAAATTCGGTGCATTGGTGGCAGAGTTTTTATGTTTTTGCATATTAGAAGCGGAATTGTTTTTTATGATACCTGAAAGATAAAATATTAAATACTTAGATAGGATTTCTGCATCAATAAAATACACTTAGCAAAGAAATCTTACAATTTTTCCAGCTCATTACCATATGAAATGGAAGCTACGAAATGAAAAGTGCATCCAATGCACAGATTAAACTGGTTTATATGTTTCTTATGATTACTGGATTACTTCTTCGTTCTGAAAAGTTTGATGGTCAGATTGCTTTAAAACGTTTTCAAGATTTTAACAATTCCTCCTTCAGAAAAATAAATCTATAAACTACTACATTTTCAGTCGCGCTTTGAGAGCTATTATAATATGAATAATTGTTGCAAATGAATGCATTTCAAGAGATAGCTGTTATAATAGGACAATTAATAAGCTAAATGTTTCTGGTTTTACGCATAGGGAAACGAAATACGTAAAATACTTTTAAGTTAATAAAAGCTTTTTCGGGGTCGAAAATCTCGTAAGCTCATTTCTCAATGCATTTTTCAAAATGGTTACGATTATTATTAGCTATTAGGTTTTCTCTTTTTTATTTCTTGAGTACCACATTTTTTTCCGAGTAATTTTTCGCACTCCCCTCCCTCATTTTTTACTGATCGAACATCGAAATGCGAAAAATTAGTAATGAGTTTTTAGAGATACGGTTCACAACAATACCGTTATCAATTATTGTCTTATCTACTAATTAATAAGTTACCAGAAGTCTGAATTTTAAATATTTTCATTGTTAATATATATATTTTGAACAATTTGGGAATTTTGCTTAGTACACAGGCTATATATACATTGTTCCAAGTGTGACAATACATATATATGTTACGGTGAAACACCGAAATCTGGTGAATGTCAACATTCACATAGTCTCTTGGTGTATGTCCGAAATATTTTCCAAATACTCTTATTTCTGACTTACACCGGTCAATGTCGACATTCACCATGTACTAATGGTGAATGTTGAACATATAACAATATTATATTTTCTTCTCCGTAATTCAGTCGCGAATAAACGCACTTGAGACTTGAAATAAGAACTTAAGAACATGAGAACCTAAAACACACAATACATTCAAAATGAGAAAGGAAAATAATAGAAGTTAAAAACTTACTTAATTATACAGTACGTTTTAAATGAGAAAATAAAATAACAGTAATAAAAAACTTACTAAATTATGTGATTCAAATCTTATTTATTGCAAGTAACTTAAACTATTATGGACTTTATGACCTCTCTTTTCGACTTTCACCAGAGCATATCTGTGATTGTTGACATACACAGGTGAGGGTCCGAATATACAAGAATGTAGTGAAATATTCGGTGTTTTACCGACGTATTTGGTGAATGTTGACATTCTCTGATGAAAGTCGACATTCTCCAATTTCGGTTTTTCACGGTAACATATGTTAATATATATTATTACTTTATTATATATATATATATATATAATAAAGATAAAACAAAAGCCGTTAATGTGATATTTACTTCTCTAGATAGCTTTATTAAATACAAAGGCTAAAGATTTTTTAATTATCTTTGTGTGATGAACCGCTTTGTATACTGAGTATTAATACACACTATTTTCTGTGTCTTGCTGGATTAAATCATGAATTAGAACCATTCATGGGGCTGCAAATCCCCCTCCTCTTTTTTAAACGATTCTCAGGTATCATCTGTGAAATTAATATCTGTACCTCAGTGATTTATCCGAAAACATGTTTCAAACTTAGTAGTTGGATTTTACATCCTAGGCATTAAGTTCTAGTTAACTCCACCCAAACACCTTGCGTAAAACATTTGAATCCCATCTTCGAAAATTTTAATGACTGTTACTTCAGATAGTTATAACACTCAAGTTAATTTTTAAAAATTGACTGTAGAAATCATGGCCATATGAGTTAGACTTTCAAGGGCAACTTTCATCAGTTTTCCAAGTGGATGGCCCGTCTAACTATCTATAATCGCTGACTTATAATCGCTGACTGCATGCCCACTCATTTAGTATCCGCTGTTTCAATTCTCTGCGGTTTGTAGATGGGGAGCAAAAAAGGCAAAACATAAGTTTCGGCATGTTTAAAAAGTGACAGCTGCTTGTGATATAGCGAAATGCAGTTCTCAAACATTCTTAATACTATCTTCTCAAGTAAACATGCACCTAAATACTCGTTTCGGAGAGTTAAATTTGATTTCAGGTTAACCAGTAGTCAAGAGGAATAGGCAGCCGAGCACTGGTAGTTCGACCCAAGTTGGAATACCGGCGTAAATAAATCTATAAACTACTACATTTCACCAGGTTGGTAACATGTGTACTTTCGGGGTTTTCCCCATGTATAATGTGAATACGAGCTACTTGCTCTTAGCTCCCCACGAAAACATCTATCTTTGGTAAGACAGCTCTCGAGTGCTTTGCTAAACAATCGTAATGCCCTTCTGTTTCTAGTACTCTTCCCATTCTTATGAGTTTCGTATTATCGCAGCTTTCATGTTCTTATTTACTTTAATAAAGGCATTATTATTTACTTTAATAAAGTTCTTATTTACTTTAATAAAGGCATCAGAGTGTAAGAATAGTGATGCTACTAGAATCTGGACACTAATAATATGCTATTAGTGCTAAGAAAATAGATGATTTTTTATTTTTGTAATCAAGAGTAATACTATTCTACAATACAGAAACTAGTTCTTTTAAAACCAATCCCGCAATTTGAGGTTTAAATTAAAATATTTGTATTCTTTTCATTTACATATATTAGAGAGAAGGAGTAGTGTTATAACGTACAGTATATTTTGTATTACTTTATTTTAACATATCGTAAAATGTGTAATAAACTTAATTAAGTGATGAGAATACCTTTTAATGCACAATATGTGAATAAAATTTGACCTTATTTATGTACGTAGCATCAATATTTGTTTGGTGGTTACCATCCGCGGTAAGTCTTGGAAAGTACTATTACCCGCGGATATGGAAGTATTACTAGTTTCCAAAAGAAAAATACTGGAATTTTACTGTTTTCTCAAAAATAACTTAGGAAGACAAGGATGCGAAAATTACACAGGAAAATACGGTAATGCAATTGTGCAATCAATAATAATAATAATAATATATTTCTCTTCACATAGCAGATAAGTAGCATCATCCACAAATATCTCACAACTGTATTCGGCTTTGTGCAATATGTAATTTTTATGTTTGCTATTGTATTAAAAATCCAAACTGTGTTAGACGTCATAAAAAGCTTCAGAAATTTCTATGATATGATTTTTTTTATTCTAGGTTTTCAACTGGCTGTAGTTTCTAAATTTTATTTAAGGCACAGCAGAGTAGAAAACTGGAAACCAAGCCCTACAGTAGTGTTTGATACACTTTCCATTAAAGTAAACAAAGAATTCAAGAATGTGACTGCAAGTAAAGTATGTTTTACAGAGCAGAAATGTGGAAGAACTACACGCAAATACCAAAGTAGGCTACCATTTTAATATCACTTTGTTTTGTAAAGAATCATTGAGTTTTAAACTAACCAATTTTGCTCAGTTACTTATGTTTTCTGCCTTCCCTCATTTCCATTTCCTGCCAGAATGATATTTCAGTTTCGTCTTTTATACAAAGTAGGGTAGAAAGATACTATTTAAGGTGATGTCTGAATTACTTTAAACAGAGCATGCTGTGCCTTTCGGCTATGTTGTTTGGCTAATTTAAGCTTGTTGTTTTACGGGCGTGCATATTTAATTGCCAGTTTGTGTACGTCGGTGGTAGGGCTAAAAGCCAACTCACGTTAATCATCTCTGTGCAATTTCGGCTGTTTATTTAACTTAAACTAGGCTTTAATTTGCCACAGGTTAGCCATAGGTTAAAGACGTCGGTTGTGGCAAATGGAGGCTAAAAGTCAACTTGCGTTGATTATCTCTGTGCAGCTTCGGTTGATTATTTAACTTGGTTTTAACTTTACATTTATATTTTGAGTTGCGACCAAAAGTACTGGATAAGGTTTTAAGCACCAGGAGTGACATCTGTAAATTCCTTCTTGAACTGAATAAAAGGATCTTTTTCCCCTTCTTACGTCTTGTCATTGATACAGTTTGAACTTAGCTAATAGTCGCTTCACAGATCAATTAAGGATCTAGCAAAAAAAAAAAAAAAAAAAAAAAAAAAAAAAAAATTTAATTTAGCTAGAATTATACAGCTTAACGATAACTCTTATTTTTGTCGAATATTCATATGAATGTATGAAGCAAGCATAGAATGAAACACATTTGCTCAGTTTTTGCGTTATCTTACTTTATAGTATTCATAAGACTATTCTACATTTTAATTTTTAATCGGACAGTTTATATTAAACCTTTCTTATTAGATAGTATAAAACATTAATTTCCCTACCATCATAAGGTTTTAAGATGTTAAACTTAACATTTGCTTTTTTATAGCGCTTTTTACCTTCAGGGAATCTTTCCAAATTCTGAGGGTATTATGTTTATTCCTTATTATTTTTGATTTTCAAGGAAAAAAATCCATTATATTTTAATCCGATATTCGCTAAAGAGCCTAAACATTATGACCACCTACTCAATTTCGCTCTGCGCGGCATTTAGCCTGCAAAACAGCTGCAACTCACCTTGGCATGGATGCCGCAAGTTCTTAGTAGACGACTGGAGACAGGTTGTACCAAATGTCTAAGCAGCGGCCACTCAAAGTCGAGATATTCTGACATGGTGGTGTTTGAGCTCTGCACTGCCGCTCCATGACATCCAAAATGTGCTTTATCGGGCTAAGATCAGGCGCGTTAGGTTGCCAAGACATTAATTAAAATTCACCCTTATGCTCTTCGAAACACTCCAACATGATTCGAGACTTGTGACATGGGACTTTGTCCTTCTGGAAGATTCCATTTTCATTTGGGAAGACAGACGCCATGTAAGGGTGCAGCTGATCCGCGGTTATGTTCAGATAGTCCGCAGCTTTCATAATCTGTTATATCACAATTAAGGGTCCCAGAGCCGCTCATGAGAATGTTCCCTAAAGCACAATACCGTCACCACCAGTCTATGTATGACCTGCTATACAGGGGGGAGCAACTGTTTGCCTGAAGATGGCGTACCCCGACTTGACCATCAACGCGATGAACGAGAAATCGAGATATATCCGGCCAGGCAACTCTTTTCGACTTATCCATGGCACAGTCTCGATGTTCTCGGTCTCACCATAGGCATAGTTGACAATGACGCTTGGTCAACAGAGGCACACGAGTGGGACGTCTACTGAGCAGTCCCATATCCAACAATGTCCGCTGAACTGTGTGCTCCGAAACACTTGCACATAGACCTGCACTGTATTGGGCTGTCAACTGAGCCACTATTTTGCTTCAAACAATCAGTACAGTCTGTGATATCGTTTTGCTTTGATGACGCGTGGACATCCAACAATTTCGCATTAAAAGCTGGTTTCACAGTCATTTATCCACTTTGCGTAAATACTAACAATGGCAGACCGTGAACGACCTACCAGTCGTGCAGTATCGGAGATACTCGCTTTCAGTCTTCAGACCATTACAATCTGCCGTCTATCAAATTCACTTAGGTCAGCGGCCTTTCCTATCACTCGCAAAAGTAAGCCCAAGAATGATTCCTTGCCTTATCTAGCAGCAGTTAAATACTATTCCTAATTAATAACGTGCCCTCCACGTCATCCAGACCGAGTTGATTGAAAAATATATACACAATAAATAATTTCTCACAATCAATCAAGTTAAACTAGACGCAATAAATAGTTCCTCATAGTCAAATATAAAAGAATATTAACTTTATAAAAATATAAGGAAAAAATTATATTTCTTCCTAAGAAAGATAAGTTTAAAGTATAATAATAACATTAAGCGAACTGTTAAATGTGTTACGAATATATAAATATACAGTAATTTTCAAAAGTTAAGCAATAAACTGAAAATTGATAACTCAGAAAGTATGCAAGCAAATTGGATGATTAAGGGATAATGTTTATTATGCCACTTGTAACTTAAAAACACAAGAAAATATTATAGAGAATATTTGCATTTTGTGATGTCAACAGAAATATAAAATTTAAAAGACATACAAATTAAATCCGAAAAAATTTGTCAATAGTGAGTATGATCTCTCCGAACAGAAACACAGGCCTGACAGCGAAGTCTCATGCTGTTTATGACGTAATCAATGAGCTTCAAGGGTAGCAATGCCCATTGATCATGTAAAGCAGTTCTAAGTCCATCTAGGGTTTGGGGAAGGGGCTGGAAGGCAGCAACACGCCTCCCAAAAGCGTCTCACAAAGCTCAATAGAATTAAGTTCGGGAGAACGTGCTGGTCATTTCTATTTGGACTATAGTTTCTTCTTCAAGAGATTGGTGTACGAGGCGAGGAGTATGAGGGCGGGCATTAACTGTTTTCAAAATTAAGGTACTATGGCAGCATACGGGCAAACAATAGGATCCAGCATGTCGTTTCCTGAGCATTAAAAGTTTTATAGGGCAATATATACAGGTTTGTGCGCCTACCTAAATATACTCCTCTCTATAGAAGAACACTACCTCCTGCATAAGTATCACTTTCCTATATGTTAGAAAGAAGAAATCGAGTGTTTGCTTCTCTCGATATATAAAGACGCCGAGAATTACTCTGTAAATCAAAGCGGGACTTTTGAGTGAACAGAACGGACCTCCACTGATTTTTCAGTCCAGTTCACATGACTACTTGGACCAATGCAAATGCTCCCTCCGGTGTTGAGCCGCAAGCAAGATGCACAATCCCGGTCGCCTAGCATACAGACCTCTTTCATTCAGCCTTGTACGTATTTGTCGTGGCCGATACTGCCCTTCTTGTAGCAGAAATAATCGCAGATCTGTGCGGAAACGAACGTGCGTTCTTGTTGCGACGTACACTAAGTCGTAAATGCGATTCATCTGTAGAATTTGTAACTCTTGGCTTACCTTCAGTAGCTCTTTGGAAGTAGTTAAAAATTGGTTCTACAATCGGCTTACCAGTGGACGGTCGACATTAATCCATCTTCCAATGTCAGAGAGTCGTTGATCGGTCTTTAGCTTTCTAACGCAATTCTGCTGGCAAATGTCCCCTCGAGATCATTTTTACGTTTTGGCTATCTTCAAATTGTTTAATATACCGTCGTTCATCGAACAGCGAGTCCCTCTTAAATAGCTGGTTTTAAGCTGCATCGCATTTATGAAAACGATGGCAGTGTCACTTCTTTCATAATGCTACTCAATACAGCTTGCTTTTATTTGTAACATATCCAAATTTCAAGAATTTCAAACTACTTTTAGCCAATTTATAGCGATTTTTCAAGTTGTTGTGTACCTTTTGGAAACTAGTGCGTATAATAGTATAAATACGTAATTACTAAATTAAAAAAAAATACTAAAATACATATATCAATAAAATTTAAGAAAGATTACCGTTTTAAAAATTTCACTGATATCAAAATGTGCATCATAGCATTAAACATAAAATCTGGATTGAGGTACTTAATATATGGCATTAGAAACATCTTTTATTGAAAAAAATATGTGAATATTAATAGATATGGGTTTTCCAGTAGATTGAGTAAGCCAGTTGAATGCTGGTCGTTCGATTACGGCTCGAATTCTAGCGAGCGAGCTACTCTGTGGGTGTTTTCATGGTTTTTTTCGCATGTGCTATCACGTGTGAATACGAGCTTCCATTAGAAAATACTCTAAGAAGGCATAACGCCCATCAGGCAGATAGCCTTGTTATGCTTTTCCATATTTAACTCGAGAAAACAATACTATGAAGAATTTCGTATATTTTTATTATGGTTTTGTTTGTTATAAGCATTATACTGTTACAATTTGGACGATAATTAAAAAATCTTGGTCCACCAGAGGCCGAGCGGTAATGTCTCTGAACGCTGCTAGTTCCGTTCTGGGTTCGATTCCAGGCAAACGGGCTAGCTGCATGTGCGCTTTCGTGGTTTTTCCTGTGTGTAACGTGTATACAAGCCAGTTTACCTTAGGAAGTCCTTCACGAAGGCATTCCTTTCCTTAGCAGACAGCTTTCTCGTGCTATGTCATAACTAAATAAACTAAACCAAACTAGTTAAAAAATCTTATGCTGGAAGAGCTTTTAGAAAGAGAAATGTGTATTGGGAACATACCTAGCCTTTTATGCTTAAGTATGTTTAACTGGATAAACTAGCTGGTCACTTCTCCTTCTTCCTTTTCGATGTTAAAGAAAACTTAGTGTACACAATGGACTTTTGCAGAAAGCAAAATCGTGAAAAATTAAATAAATTATAAATTATTTTTTTTTTTACTTTTAAATATTTTATTTAATCTGGGTATGCTTAGCGTACCTCTCATGCATAACTTTTCATTATGCTGTGTAACCGAAAAGTTTAAGAAATAAAAAATAAAAACCAATTTAAAAAGTAATTGCCAGTTCATTCTTCTACTATACAAATTCATTGATGAAAGAAAAAGTTTAGGTTTATAGGTTATATACTGAAATGGAAACGTTCAGTGAAAAATAAAAGTTGTAATAATAAAAGTAACCATACGTTAATTATTCCTTTTTTCGATGGTGCAACAGCTCCAAGCACCTGGAAAATTTACTTGTAGAGATGGTTTTTCTATATTAACATAGTCCTATGCTCCAAATGATAATATCGGTTTAATCCTGTATATCACAGTGTGCAATTGCAGAGATATTGCATTTCAAATCCAGAGCAATGAGCTCATCTATGCAGTTGTTTCCAGTGCCTTCACATGAAAATGCCTCTCCACTGATTTCACCTGAAAATAAGTTAAATGCATGAAAAATCCTTTTTCAAGATCGTGTACAGGCACTTGAGAGATCAATTTGAATTATTAACAAATTTTACTTCACAAAACTCGTACTTTTAGATTAAAATCATGGGATACAACGTTTTATTCGACAGCTCTTTCTAACCCACCGATTTATTAGTACTTTTAGAAAAAGCATACTTTATGGATGCAGTGTTAAACTTACAAGCATATGATCTTCAAGTGTGGGTTATTTCAATACCATACCTCTCCTAATGGCATCATCCTATATATTTTTCTAGTTCTGAAATTCAGCAAAACGAAGATACAATTGTGGAACCCAGGATTTTAGAAAAAAATTCTTTTGAATGTAAAGAATTTTTTTAAAAAAATTTATACCATTTTTAACATTTAAAATGTAATAGTAATCAGCAACTTTTTAACTTGAGGACGGATTGTGAGCAATAACAGCAGTAATATTAATTAAAATAAGAATTTGCACATTCATTTAATAAGCTAAAACTGTGCTTCTGTTTTTAACTGTAAAATAAAACGCCCTCAGTATTTGCAAACAAGTGGCACTCAGTGAGTAATCAGTCATTAAAAGGTCTTTACCTTCCGATATAGGCTTACGGTCAGTAAACGTTCGCTAAGAAAAGCAGATAAGTTCGCTAAGAAACTTTCGGTAGATAAAGTTTTAATAACAATTTTTAACTAAACATCGGAAACATAAAATTCCCGAATAAGTAAATGAATAAATAAATTTCTTACTTGAATAATTACCAACAGTTCTGTAACTCTTTTACACAAAATATACCCGTTATCATCAACAACTTTCCCCTTAATGCTTCTGATCACTTTCCTCTACCTTGCGGATGAGTATTATTCATTAGCGCGCTGGAGGAAAGTGATCGGAAAATAATAGACTAAGTCTAATTATTCCTTGTGAAAAGCTATTTCCTAAGTGCTAAGCTAATCATCTGAAGCGCTAGAGTAAATAATACGTCCGTGTATGCAAATCGAATCACCAAAGTGTGTTTTTATTGCAGACGAAATATGCTTGTTTTTGTAAACTTCTTCCCTTTGACAGCCTGGATTTTTAAGTTGAACTACGTGCAAGCATTAAAGGCAGAGCGAAAAGGATAACTGTGACAACTGCCAACACATCTGGAAATGAAAAGCTTAAATCATGACTGTCTGTCTATCACGAGAAGTACCCTCACCAGTTATATCTGATTGGATACGGTCACTAATAGTAACAGGCCTTATAGATTTCCAAGTCCTGGTAAGTCAGGTAGAAATTTTATTGTTATTTTGTTTCTGCAAATGTTGTCCGTGGAAAAGACAAAACAATGCTATAACGAGTATTTTTCTTAAATCAGAAATCAAAAAGCGTACACCTCCGTTCCGTCAATAAATGCACCAAGATGGCAAAATTAAATGCATTTCTTTCAAGACAGCCCCATGAAAAATGTATTAGGACTCGTTTTCACGGGAATACAGACAATTGTAGACATTCTGTCGGATGGTATTCTTACGGTAAAGAGACAGTAGTAATCGACAAGGCTTTAAATCAACATTGCTTCAAAAACATTATAACATTGCTTATAGATTTTATACCAAGTTCTAAAACGTGGAATGACGGGTGAAATGGTCATTCAAAACTGGCTAAAAGAAATGGATGAGCATTCTTTCTGCCTAAACAGTAAAATTTTGCAGCTAGTAAATATTTGACAATCACAATTCACAAATAATTATCAAAAATGAATCTTTTCTACGTTAAACGCCTATAAGGCGGCTTCACCGTAACTGGACTTTTGAAGTATTGTTTAGCAGACGCATGCCTCTTGTAATTTGTTTTTGTAAACTTTAAACATTGTGAAGATGACTTGTGATTTTATTTTATTTAGTTAATCATTCTCTACGTGTGTATTGAACGATTATCTAGTTCATTACATTTATAACCTAATACCAGCCAAAACTGCACAAGACATGTAATTTTAAAATCTATATTACCATATCATATTATCATAAGAAGCTCTTGGAACAGGATTTATTTTTGACGGATCATAATGGAAGTTATGACGTAACATTACTATCTGCTATCAACTGTCTGTATGTTGAATGGAATATTGTGAAACCGGCAACAGTACCCATTATGTTGGATTCATTCACCCTGTTTACCCATTAGGATTCTTTTGAAGCGGGATGCATGAAAAATGAGCAATGGCCTCGCTGGGACTCGAACCTAGACCTCTCGAATAAGTGCTGAGATTGCTACCGTTACACCACGAAGTCATGCAGAAAGGAGGGAGAAAATACCTTATGTACTCTCCCTTTTAAAGGAAGACTGGGGATTAGAGGACCCAGTCATCAAATCCTGGTGGTGAGGAATCATCATCCACCACGTTTTAGTTCGGGCGCCACTGTAGAGTCATTAAGTTATTTTGAAATAGAAGATATGAAAAATGAGCAATGCTTTTACACCACCGATTCTTATGTTATGAGTCTGAGGACACTTTCCTTTTAATGTGATCTGCAATTTTTTGGATATCTAACCATTAATTTCATAATTAAGCTTCTTGCAAAATAAGGAAATATTTTAAGCATATATTTATCTGAATACAAAATAAGACAACACTAAGATTAAAAAATACAAATATCAAGCTTTAAAAAGTAAAAAATAAGAAGCTTCTCAAAAATGGCTTCGTTAATGATTTAAAAAAAAAAAAAACAGGTATAATTACCAAAAGTTATTTTTTAAAGTAGAATGAAAGGTATTTCTTATGGGAAGCTGAAGCTATTACACTGAATTAACGCTATCTTTTAATTTGCTTGCTCATCATCACTTGGCAATCCGAATATTGACTAGAGAAGCAAGCTAAACAAAAAATCCTCTTCTACGACGAGAATAATGATTTGAATGAAATTATTGCTCTTACATGAATGACACACCTTCTAGACTAGGGGTTGAACTCCTAAGCCTAGTTCGGTCATTAAGTTGTCGGTGAGGGGAACGCCCGAATCTTATCTTATCTTACATGAATGACAAATGCTAGCGGTTATGTATAATGGAAGATTAATTAATATTTTAATTGTCTATTCATAATAAAAGTAAATAACAAGTCAAATTTTAGTTTGAAAAATCATTCATCAACCATTAATCAGTTTAAGAGGGTTTAAATTTCATTGACATCATTTTTAAGTTTCATTGCTATAATAATATCCTATTCTATAGAATATGTTTATAGAAATGAAATTTTGCATTTCTTGAAAAGTAAAATAAAGATAACAATTTAAATTGGTATCAAAATCAGGAGACTTTTATTTGTTTATTTATCTTCAAACCTGAATGATTTGAATGATTTTTAATCTCGATGGCCTTTACCTTAAATATTTTCATTTTAGAATTTTCTTGATAATCAAATGAAATCAAAATAAAATAAATGAAAATCTTAATGAAATGAAAACTTTATAAAAAAATCTTAATGAAAATAAGAATGTGATTCAAAAACTAAGGTTATTAAAATTCTTTCTATACATGTCAATTTCTGCAGAATTTACTTAAAAACCTATGTAAAATATGCAAGTTTATATAATGATATATTTAAATATATATATTGCTTTGCACTATAATGCATTTAAATAAGGGCATTATTTATACAAAATGCATATGCCTCTTGCCTATTAAAATCTGTAATTGGCAAAACACTTTGAAAAGCTGACATGCACATGCAAATGATTTCAACAAATTAAAATATTCATTTATAAATTGAATTTGTTCATGTTTAGTATGATAACTGAGAGGTTATGAAAATAGGAAAGTAGGTTAAAACGCAGATGACAGCCCTTTTGTGCTTTGTTCTATTCAAATAAAAACATAGATGGCTTTTCAGTTTCGAGTGCTATTTCAAAATGAAATATCTATAGTGACTATGATTACTTATACTTTTATAAACGCCATCTATATTATGGTTTAGTTGTGAATTCATGATTTGCGTTACTGTTATGAAAGTAGCTAAAATATTTAAATATAAAACTGAATGTTAATCTGTGCGCATGATCCTGATTTAATTCATCTTCAATAAAAAATACATTTATTTTAAAGTTGCCATTGTGTTGAGCGAGGAAAAAGTAGAATTTCAAGCTGCAGTACTCCATTTAAAACGTTTTTCCTTAATTCCAGACTTCATTTTAAATTGATTGAATAAATTTAGCCTATTATTTCGTTTGCTAACAGATCACTACTTTTCCCTGTCGATATGAAATTTATAATGTATTTTTTTTTCTAATTTATTATTGAACTCAACCAGTGGGCGAGAGGTTAAGGCCGTTAAATACTGGTACTGAGACCCGGATTCAAACCCAGATGAACGGACTGGTTGCATGGGTGTTTTTTATGACTTTCCTCATGTGTGACATGAGTACAAGCCAGTTTCCCTGAGAAAACTCATTACGAAAGCATCCCTCCTTGTGTGCTTTATCACATACAAATGATTTAACCTTCAGTTTGTCACATTACATTATCAACTAAATCGAACATGTATTAAACAAAGACTTGCATACAGTTCAAAATATGCACAACAAATTTTCACATTATCAGAGCGATATAATTATGATGTACATCTAAAAGTTTTAATAAAATATTGATGTACCTTGTTTTGGATCTTCTCGGATCATCAAACATAATGAAAAATGTTCCAGTGAAGTTGCCAAAATGCTTATTTGTCGGAATTAGCACATAGTCATATCTGGAAAATGAAAATTAAATGGCAATTTTTTATGCTAGTATTTTCTTTTTATGTATATTTCCATATGCAATTTGGGGGCAATATATTGGTGTCATAAATGTAAAAATAAAATGCATCGAAAAATAAATGTAGGAAACTTTTTTTTTTCTTTTTTTTTCTTCAAATTTTGGATATGCATGAATACAAGCCAGAGAGTCCTCCATGAAATCAATTCGTCCTTGCGAGCTAGGCAAGCAATAAAAAATTGATTTCATTATCCCATGTACTTAGTTATATCTTAAATTAGTTTTAGCTAATTAATTCAATTTCACAATTGCATATTAAACTTATTTTTAATACCGAAAAAATGAGCTATTCATATAAATTATTTATTTCAGATTTAAAAACTTCCTTTCCGTAATGTTGAGATCATCGTCATTTGATTTCACACTTTAAGATTAACTGTTCTAAGTATAAAACTGCATTTGGTTCAAAAACATTTTAATAGGTTGGGAATAAAATTTCAGAAAACTTAAATTTCTTTAACGATTTCGTTAAACTTTGATGAGGGATGATCTCACAGAGTATTTCCCTAAGGAAAGAAAGTTTCTACTTCAGTCTTAACAGAAACGACATTTTTAATACAAACGCACTAAGGTACAGGAAAATATATACCGGTTGCTCGTTATATCCACCATTCGCATAGTTAAGGAAAGGGACGTTACAAGAAGTAGCTGCTTTAACGAAATGGATTTAATATTCTCATTAGTTTGAGACGTTTTGCGTTGGTTGTTGTAACAAAACAGTTGCTTTAATGAGTGGCCGTTATAACGAGAATAATGGATGATTGAGCAAAAGGAGTACGTTTAATATAATGGGTATATAAAGAGAAGAAATATTATTTATTCATGCTGAAAACTACGCAAAACCTTGCGGTTGATTTCAAAATAATAAAATATTTATTTTCTTTAAAAAAATTAATTTCAATTGTAAGCATTTATTAAAAGTCTACCGTGGTGATGTGTTCAAAACCCGATGAATAAAAATTAAAAACGTGCTAAATGAATCCGAGCAAAGAACAGCACAATTAAAGAAGAAAGAATCACAACATACCTTCGTATCATAGCTCATCATACGCAAAGTTATCACCGATAGTGAGAGTGAGTTCGAGCGGAACTAAATGGAGTGACCAAGTGAAACGGAACTTCCGAGGGATAGAAAACGAGAGCAGAATAATAAAAGAATTCGGAGGAAAATCACTACAAGGAAATTTACCTGCAAACCGCTTTTAAGAGGAAATGATCAGGCTATATCCTCCTTTTTGGTTCCTCATATTGTATTTGTTTCCGCCAGTGGTTTCTGTTTTCACACAAAGAAGTTTGATCCAAAAATCTGAAGTGGGCAGCTTCTTCCTCTTATGAACAAAGTCACTTTGATTTCGAGAAGTTTGCCTCAAAATGACTTATATGGCTTGAACTTCAGCAGAAAATGTATTAAATTTTCAATTAAAGTTTAAATGAATTTATTGAACAAATTAATTATATCTTTGAACCTCGTTTCTTAAAAGTAGAAGAACTGGAAAAAGTTGAATTTTGGAGAAAGTTTTTTATTTTAAAGTTACCCAACCACAAAATGTGATAACTCAAAACACACAAAAATCACTAATTTCATTTTCTTAATGTATATTTCTGCCAAAATTCATGTTATAGAATTAAATTACGAATAATTCATTAATAAAAGACAAAATTATAACTATTATAGTTCCTCGAGCCTTTCTTTCAATTTGATCATTTTCCTTAAAACAGTGTATGCTTATGACTTAAATTTCTGATGTGTGCTATTCTTTGATTGCTTGAATGTTCATGTAAAATGCATTCATTCACCAAAAACGTCCTTATATCTAATCAATTATAGGACATAATTCCATACGAGTCTAACTTTGAAAAGGCATGGAATGTGCTCCCAGAAAGGGTAACGAATGAATGAGAAAATTTCTGGTTAATAATCTCCATCTGATATTCATATAATGTTTTTGACGTGCATACTTATGCAACAGTAAATGCTATTTAACCCTCTATGCATTAGAAATGAAATCACAATTTTTAATAACCAAAGATATAATACGATAGTATTCTGTGACTAAAAATTTTAGAATAACTATTAGAATTCTTTAGTTTAATCTCTAACTTTTCATTTGTATAGGTACAGGCCTAATTTGACTGGTCATTAGATTTAAAATTTGACAATAAATATAACTCTTGTCCTCTTTCCAATAACGTTAAATTTTGTATCCAGAAAGTAACAAACGCGCGCATGCCTCTTGCAAGTATTGGCTATTATATACACTTGGCAACCATGCCGTGCTGAAATAAAGGACTCCGAGGTATCAACGACTGCTTTCTAATTAGAAACAACCACGAATTTCCTCAAGAATTTCCTGATTATTAATTACCTTCTGTCTTTATTATCAGTCATATTATAATCAGTCGACAAGGCTCACAGCTGAGCAGGAAAACCGAATAAATTTCGAAAAATTACTTGCTATTGCTTTGCACTAAAGAGATGAGAGATTAAGCTTAAAACTCATTGCCGTAATAGCCACTACTGTATTTATTCACCTCAGATGACATATCTTACTGCAGCCTTTAGTGTTATCCCACATCTTTCAACATGCAAGTGATATGCTTCCTAACGAGAGAGAGTAAAAAAAGGAATGGGGGGAAAAATGCCGAAACTTTTTTCAATACTTTGGGCAATTTTTCGTAAATAAGTAACATGGGATATATGATGGCGGAGGTCTCATAATTTGGAAACTTTGGAACAATCCTTCAGAGTATGTCATTATTCCGGAGCCTAGTGCTTTAAAATTTGACCTTCATTCTCGTTTAGATATAGGAAGTTTTCTTATAAACAGATCTGATTTTTATTTCTATTGATCTTAAACTTGTATTTCAGTTGCGAAATTTCTTCAGAATAAAGCAGAATTATTTCAGCGCTAGCAATTTCAGAACCGTGCTCCATAAATATAAAATTCAACTTAACAGTTCTCATGAAGCAACAAATTCATCAGTGAAATATTCTTTGTCGTTTATGGAATTCAATGCAGAATGCATCGCTTCTTTACGCGAAAAATTCGCAATTAATATTTTCTCGGAGCTAACGTCAAGGTTATTAGCTAGTGCTTAGTTTTATCCAGTGCTTAATTTGTAAGGATTTTCAAGGGAGCAACTTCGGTTTGATAGTTACTTCAAAGTTTCAGAGAAAATCTTAAGAAATACTCAATTTCTTTTACAAATCTGCATTGAAAAGGGATCTAAGGCAGTAAAGTTGTTCTCCAACACCTCCGCGAAGAAGCATATCGAGGGTTTCAGAAATTTATTAAAGCATAATGATTAGTTTATTCATTTTTTTAATATACGGGACGTTCTCTCCCATTAAAGCAAAAAAGTATATTGGTACTACAAAAAAGTAGTTGGACTTTATATTTACAGAATTTTCTTACTTAAAGTATCGAAGCTTTTCTCACAAAAACGTTTCTGCGTTAATTTGAGAATCTATGTAAATTGAAAAATATAGTCTCTGTTATGTATTAATTGTTATTATTTTCAAGTTTTAAGTTTTGCTTACTTAATTCAGTTTTGATTCAGTAATTGAAGTTATTAATTTTTACTTTAGTTGTTTAAAGTTGGTTGTAAGTTTAAACTGTAACTTTTGTAAACACCTTAAATTTAGGTTTGGTTGCTTTAAAAGTTTTCTTAAGTTGAAGTTGTTTAATTTTAATTTGGGTTTAGGGATTTAAGTTTCTGTTTTTGTACTTTTTGGTTTTGACTCTTAAGGTTGTTTAACTTTTAACTTTAATTATTTTAAAATCGCAGCGTCATCGTCATAGTACCTCTTTTAGAAGTCGAAAATTCCCTACGAAGATGAGAAATATGGAATGACTGCTGAGTATGAGAAGAAAGCAGATTCTTGGAGGATAAAGCATTAGATCCATCGGGAAAAACCCCTGCGCCGCTGAAGGTTTAATTTTTCGCCGAATTTAGAATGACGGTTTGGGATCAGCAGCCCAGGAATCTGCCTGAAGGAAATTGCAGAATGGCGGAGTTCCAGGCCGCCGTCTCGGATCAGCATTTAACTAATATTCTCTGATTTTTTTGTTTTTTGTTTTTTGTTTTTGTTTTACAGATCTTCCTTCCTACCCTACAACTGCAGTATGAAACATCTGAATGTAAAGAATGCCTGTGTACTTACGAAGGGGTCCTCTCCCATAATTTTAGAACGTTAAATCATTATAAGGTATGTGCCTGTTTATTTTGATTCGTCAGCCAAAAATGTTAACGTTGATGACCGCCACCCATCAAATTAAACAAATTGTAGCTGTAAAGCTTTAATGTCTCTAAATAAACGCAAGATTGATTTTACTTACTTTTGTATTGTTTTAATTTTAGTTATTTTACACTGGACTTTAGTCATAGAATGGGTTATAAGTAGAATCACAATACAAACCTTTTTCTGTAGAATTTAGAATTGTTTATGTTTCACTCGGATAATTAATTACACGTATGGTTATTTGATGGGATTGATACAGTACTGGTTGAGAAAAATGTTTACTGATGTTGAACATATTCACACATCATCCGAAATCCATATTAGCTAAAACATGAAAATTTTCTATTACACAGTGATGATATTTAGTAGTAATTATTGCATATGACCATAATTTTATAATTGTTCTATAAATAATATACTACGCCTCTAGTGTCTAATAATGTCTAGCATCAATATTTAAGAAGAAAGAAAGGCTTATAGTAATCTTTTCTTCAAACGTACTGTATACACATGCGCACCACAATTTAAATTGCGCCAAACCCACAGAGGCCCGACTCCGGTACTTCTTAATTTTTGAGATAAATCCTAATTTTAGCAACAGCACTCTTATTCACTCAAAGTAATATCCGCTTTTACTTAGTTTAAGTAAATAAGAGAGTTCTGGCCCTTCTTTTACGTAACTGAACCACAACTTCAGCAGAAAATTCTTTCGATCTGGAAAATTTTATTATAATAAAAAGAAAAAAAAAAAAAAAAGGAAGACTTATTTATAAGTTAAAAGAAAAATCTGAAATGTTTCAAATTTTAAATTATGTCCAAACGGGCGTTTTTTTACATTTTGTGTGTTACCTTTATTTATTAAATATCACGTCTTTGCACTTAAACCTAAAATTCAGTGCAAGAGCAATATCGCAAATATTTCAAATTGAGCTATCTTTATTTATAAATTAGAATTCCGACACCAACTCACGCGTGGAGATAAAATTTTTTATGTACAACGTTGCCTGCTCTCCTTTGAAATTCTGAGTTGCTAATAAAAATTCGTTAAAGTTACAAATATGAAATCGATAATAAAACAATTCAAATTCAAATTGGGCTTCCAGATGCCCATATTGTATGGAAGGATTATGTTATTAAATTTTGATGGCTCTAGGTACCGTTGTTTTATCACAATGGCGAAAACATACATACATTTACTCCAGATTCCAATATTTATTTAATATAATTACAGGGCGATAATATTTGGTGGCAACAGTTTGAAAAGGGAAACGAACATTCAGAGTGATTCGACGCATAATCGCAAAGCGAAAACAATAGACCTTCAGGGACAAAGCAACTTTGGACTAATAAGTAAGCTTGGAAGTCGATTCTTACTTCTGAATGCATGCTTGCCCTTTTCTGGGAAAGAAACTGTCTTTCTCTGGGAATTTCTTGGACAGAGGAAAGAAAAACCCCTTCCCACATGCCAAAGGCTCACAACGTTAGTCACTAGCCGTCAAAAAGAGCACCTGCAGGCGTTTTGGAACGATTTAACCAAATATGTCGGACGAAAATTGTCTCTAATACACAAAATTTTACATTTTTTCGCATCTAATCCTCGAACTGGAGGAAATTTTTCCCCTCATTCAAATTTTAATTGACAGCTATAGAATTATACCGGCAGGAGATCAGAATTGGATTCTTCTCTATTTTCATATTTACACATTCTCCATTAAAATTTCCTTCGTATTCTGTTACTACTTACAATATTCTCTTTATTCTCATCAGTGACACTTCAACCGTTTAATATTTTTTTAATTGATGTGCTAGAAAATGAATAGTCTTTGGGTCCATCAGTCCTTTAAGTAGTACATTATACTGTATATTCAGAACTTAAGTTCAGCCGGAGCCAGATTGAACTTTTCTTAGATTTTGAGTGAAATTACAATTCCAACCGGAACCCCGAATGAGATAAGGTCTGGTATTTTATTTTATAATTAACCTTAACTGAAATTATTTATTAAATTTTTATTTATCTCTTTCCAATTTATTGAATTTAATTATTCCGTCATTTTAATAATTAATTATTTTGAGTGTTTATTATTTTATTGCTTTAATTTTTAATTAATTTATACATTTAATTGCTAATTTTTATTCTTTTATTTATTTATTTTTGTTTCCTGACGGCCTTCCACAAAGCTCCGGTTTTTCTAATTTAAAAAATTAAGCGCTGATTCACACACGCAATAAATGCATATAAATCTTGGATTACATAATTTTTTCCTGACTCCTCAAAGATTCTCAGATTTTTCTTGCTTTTCTTTCATTCAAATCACGTCAGAGAGTAAAAAAATGAAGTCGCTGCGAATTCGTGCATTACTCTCCATATGGATGCACATTTTTTTAAACCGCGGGGCTTTAACCTATTAGGCTTTTTGAAGCAGAACACGTGAAAAATCATTTTGGGCTCTTACTGGGACGCGAATCACGGATTTCTCAATTGGCAGATGGATGTGCTAACCAATTGCACTAAAACAGCTTGCACTGAGAAATGAGATATTTCCTTACAACTATAAAGTTCTTATCGATATTTTGAAGTTTTTTCGCATTGACCCATTGATTTTTAATAATAACAAAATAATTAATTTTAATTAAAAATAAATTAATAAAAGCCCACGTGATCTATCTGCCGGGGAAAGTTGCCTTCGTGGGGGACACTGTAAGGAAAACTGTCTCGTATTGACGTTACGTATGGAAAATACCACGGAAATTCTCCCCGCTGCTAGTCCTTTCCCTTTTTGGTATTCAAGAAAGAAATACAGAAGCAAGTACTTCGAAACTGAAAAAGTATTTAATTACGTCTAAAGTAAATTCAGTTCAATAAATATTTAAAATTAAAATGCTTTATTGAGCTGACTTTATTATCGAGATTATTATCAATCTGTGTCCTTATTGACGTGGTGTTCGGTTAAAATCGATATTTGTATGACTTCCTGCTGGTTTATATGTCAGCAAGTTTGATTCGTAGAATTCTGAATATTTTGAATTCCTACTTGATTTACTCATCACAAGTAAAAAGTAGGAATAAATATTGCTCATTAATAAAAAATTCGATTTAACTATCTGTGTTCGCGTGAGATACTCTGGCACGATTAAATATTCTAAGTAACAAAAAATTCACTTCAGATTTTTCACGCAGCCGCGTGTTTCATACACCAGAAGGAAATCGTTTTGTGATTTTTGTCAGGTAATAAACCAGAATTCGAATACTATATTTCTAATTTTAGAATACATTACTTTTTAACATTTGCCACATCTTCTCTTCACTTCATAATATTGCATAACGTGTGTAATGCATTCTGAGTTTGGACGCATACAATAGCTTTTTGAAAAATGCATAACATTCGAATTAATATATGTGAATGCTCAATAAAATTTATAAATTTCTTTCTGTTACATGGAGAAAGTTAGAATATTTAACTTATTTATTAAGATGTGTGTTCATAAATGCAACGTAGTATTTTAATAAGTTCCTACTTTTTATTTGTGATGAGTAAATCAAGTAGGAATTCAAAATATTCAGAATTCTACGAATCAAACTTGCTGACATATAAACCTGCAGGAAGTCATACAAATATCAATTTTAATTAAGGAAAAGGCCACGCAACTCCGAACACCACGTAAATAAGGACACAGATTGATAATAATCTCGACAATAAACTGATCTGGTCGACAATCTTCTGATTGTAATCTGAAGCGAGAAACTTCAAAATATCAATAAGAAGAACTTTAAAGTTGTAAGGAAATATCTCATTCCTTAGTGCAAGCTGTTTTAGTGCAACTGGTTATCACATCCATCTGCCAATTGGGAATGTATGATCAGATGTTACTAATGCTAACTTCAATTACACTTATTTATGGTTTCATCAAAGCTAAAAGCTTATTAAGCATGTGGTTCTCTGCTGCCAACAAGTTGAGAAATTACGGTGGCTTATTAAACTTTAAAACATCGCTTATTTTTAAACTATATTAACTCTTTATATTCTGAATGGAAACTCTGCTCGTGATGCTTAAATTAATCCTACAGTCTTGTCAGTTAAAGATGAAACAGATAAAAAAGATGAACGGATATGTGAATTACCGGAAAATGATAAATCAATGACAATCTTGTCAGTTAAAGATGAAACAGATAAAAAAGATGAACGGATATGTGAAGATTCTTCAATAGTTTTAGAAAAGTTAGGAAAAGGAATTTCTAAAAAGCAATTTAAGGCTAGGTTTCTAGCTGCATTAAGAGTTATGGGAAAGAAAACGCGACAAATAAAGTACTGAAAGTTATGGTATAATGTATTAGTGCACGTGATATAAAATTAAATAAGTGCACATAATTCAATTAAATAAGTTCACTAATATAATACGCATAACTGAAAATAACATTTAAATTTTATTTAAAATAAAAAAAGAAGTATTAAAATATAAATTTACTTACTTATGTTCAGATGCACCTTTGTTAATTAATTATTTAACATTTATATCTCAACAGGAAAAGAAAATACGCTGCATTGCAAATATTACTTTGCATTATTATAGTGTAGACATAAAAGGTGTTTCTAATTTTTTTTTCTAAAATGGCATGAGCTGTTAAGATTGTAAAAAAACACAGGGATTTCTTCTTTCCATGTCTTCCTTCTCTTGTGTTTTTTCCTTTTGTTTTATGTCCAACCATATTATGTAGCATTGTAATATTACCATTTTTCATCACACCATGAATTTATATATATTTTGCTACATTATTTTTCGCACATATTCAGTTACATCCATTGAATATTGCATAACTGGTTAACAGTGTCTTGATATTCCGTGCCAATGATTATCGCTTGATCCTTTCATATACCAGTCTGAGTTACATAAAACATACATCTGCCAGTTTTTGTTACCAGTCTGAGTTACATAAAAGCTAGTCTGAGTTACATCTGCCAGTCTGAGTTACATAAAAGCTAGTCTGAGTTACATCTGGGGGATTCTAGAAGGAATCTTATTAATCAATGTTTTTATAGAAGATTCAAGCTCATTTTTAGAGCATTGGTCCAATGTCATCCCAGTCGCACAGGCAGATACGTATTTAGTTCGAATTTCCTATAACTAAGGTTATAGGAACCTTTTTCACTTTTTTTGCGAATATTTATTGACAAGATTGTTGACGAAAAAGGCCTTTCAAATAACACGAAAACGTGACACATATTTATTAAATTCTGCAAAAAGCTGGTTCTTGTTTAACGCGTAAAAATTCTCTATGAGCATCTGCTTAGTTTGCAAAGGTGTTTATGATTTCATTACGTTACAAGGCAAAATTTGGCAGAAATTACTAATTCATTTTCCGTTGCGAAAGAACTGGCTCCGCGAAGTTCGAAATGACCCACAAAGCTTTACTCCAAATACCTATTATTCGAGCCGACTCTATGTTCAACGCGAACTTTGAAAATAATCTGCGACTCTCGAGCCGACGTACCCCTGAGGCAAACCTGTGCTTGAGTAGATCTCTGTTTTCCCTATCTGCATTCGGAAGATAAATTACTGTCTACACTAGCGCAATTTTTTACTGGCTGCCGTTTTGTCAGTTGTGGTTTTACTTGTAGGTTATCGGTTACAAGTAAGCTGTGATGGTTGTCGGTTGCAAGAAAACTTCTTATGAATAAGATGAGAAATATTATAATTAAATATGAGATTCTACAGACTGGTCAAACCTAGTTTCATGATTTATATATGATTTTATATATGCGGTTCTGCATCGATTCACTACAAACGGCGAATCACTTTTCAAACGGTTGCCACAAAGTATTATCGCCCTGTGTTATATTTATATATCGATATATATTACATATAATATTATATATACGATAATATTACATATTTAAATAAATTTAAATAATGAAAAATCTAAAATGTACGTATTCTCGCACTGTGATAAAAAATGGTACATCAAATTTGAATGACGTTACCTCCTACGAATATGGGCATGTTGGAAGACAAATTGGATTTGTTTATTATCGATTTCCTTTTTGTAAAAACTTTAACGAATTTTTGATTAACAACTCAAGGATTCAAAGCGAGCAATGGCAACGTTGTCCAGAAAAAAACTTTTTATTTCCAGCGCATGAGTCTCTGTATCGGAAATTCTAAAGATATGCTCATTTAAAAACTATTTCGCGATATTGCTATTGAACTGAATTTTATGGTTGAAGTGCGAAGAACGGGATATTTAATAAATATTGTAGCACACAAAATATTAAAAAAAAACGCCCCTTTGGACGTAATTTAAAATCTGAAACATTTCAGATTTTTTTTTTTCTTTTGGTAGCCTAAAGTCATAAAGAGGTCTATTGAATGTGCTGCAGATAAGCTAAAGCAATGAGCGTGCTCGACTTTTGCTATTTCATAATATGCAACAACTGGCCATCATGGAATGTATTAGGGCTGCAGTCATTTCTGCCATGGACAGCCCACAGCGGCCGAGCACATAAGACCGCTAACACTGTAGAGACATTAGCTTATTTCGAAACCGGAGAGATGAAAAATGAGCAACGCCTTCGCCGGAATTCGAACAACGGGCCTCTCGAATACGCGCCGAGCGTGCTGACTACTACACCACGAAGGCAGCCGAAATACCTTATAAAACTTAAAATTAGAGCTGAGTTCAAATCTTGGCTAATGAGCTGACTATATGGGCGTTTTCTTGGCTTTCTTTACATATATCAGGAATACGAGTCAGTTATCCTTAGAAAGTCCGCTCCACCAGCCGCTAACTGTTTGAGACGGCTGAATATTGGTAGTTTGACCGAGTTGGGGTTCGATTTCAGGCGAAGAGGGTGGCTGCATGGTAGATTTTCCCAATGTGTAATGTGAATACGAGCAGTTTCCTCAGAAAGTCCTCCACGAAACATCCCTCTTCTTAGGCAGATAGCCCTCGTGGCTGTTTGGTTCTGAGTTAGCCTCTTTATTTTGTATGTTGTCCATAAGTCACATGTGAAAAGCAATATGAAAAATTTTAATGATACTGTATTTAAAAGCTTGCGTATCTGAAATTTTTGAAAAAAGAAAGAATTATACCTAGTGAGGAATTTCATTAGCCTTTGAGTCATCTTCCTATCCGGCATTTTATTCGCACTCTCGTTTCCATCTTTGTTATCACGATTAAAATTACGTGGAAGATTCTTTTGTTATTAACATAAATGGAATCACTACTACTGAAAATGTTATCAGAATCGTCGAAAACGTATTTCTCTCCCATAATCAGAAATATATAGAAAGTTTATTCTCATTTCATTAGGTATTATATTATTATCTCTAGAAATATGATATTCAAGCATATCTTCGTAGCTTCGAATAAATTTATCGTTGATATAAAATATTTTCCTCCCTCTTGTTTTACAATAAGTTTCACGATTTTAGAGAATAAAAATAAAGTAAAATCATGATTCAAACTTTTCAGAGAAAGTAAGGAAAGATAACCACAAGTAGAAATTAAAGTACATCAGCAGAAAGTAAAAAATAATAGAATTTGTTTATGTAGTAAAATATGCATAACAATGAATAATGAAATTATTTTATCTTTCATAATGATAACATTCGATCCAACAAATATCGATTTTAGCGTTATTTGCCAGAACGTATTGGTAAGTTTCGAAATAAAATAGTTTTAATAATAATATAACTAACTAATAAATTAGGGCGCAAGATTTAAGTAACAAAGTAATCAAATTTCTCATATTAATTCTAACCACTTAAGGACATTTTGTTTTTCAGCTACTCTTCCGAACTTTTTCCTTTGTTTGCTTGCTGGTTGTCGAGTCCATAGTTCACGGAAGAATGGTTGCCAGAGCCTCAGGTAGGTTGGACTTTTACACTCATGTCCATAAATTAAGAATAATGCAAAATCAGGCAAAGGAAGAGTTAGAAGCAAAACAAATTTGACTTAGTTGTAAAGCTTATTCATTAAACAAAAGGTAAAGAGCAAAACAATGCTATATTTGATATTATTGAAAAAAATAGCGATTTTTCTCCTGGACAATTACAAAAACAAAACCTATTTACAAAAAACGAATATACATGGTTGGTATGATTGTTAATACTGTATGCCCCAGAGATGCAATACAGCCGTACATGCCTAGCATGTGAGTATCAAATTAATCGATCTGATTTTGGGTGGTATTACACCACTAAAAAGCATGCCCTCCGAAGTTCCAGTAGACATGTAGGAGAGGAGTTTGACGGGCTGCAACTCGTCGGCCCAAAGCATGTCCCACACACATCTACTGGATCAAGTCCGTGAGAATGCTGCAAGTCCATGCGGGTGATATACCCCGACTGAAGGCCGCTTACGATTTTGCACGGTGAGGACGGGCTTGTATCCATAAACACAATTTGCGCCCAGGCGCCCGAAACAACCTACAGTTGTTCCAGAATGGGTAAAAGTTGTTTTTAACATGTAACGGGACTTTGACTCATCCAGTGCGGACAAAACAAAAACCCCCCCCCCAAAAAAATCAAATAACAAATAATTCACATTCAAGATCTAATTCATAATATTCATATATCATTTCGACATTCTTATAAATATTCGTATAGTAAATCTATCAATCAATCGTATATCATATCTATCAATCAATCGTATAGTGGTAGTACAATTTAACTTTTAGGTTTGCGTTGTGAGTAACCTATGCCAAAGGAAATATCAATAACTCCAAATTCAATTAAACTCCATGTTTCTTAAAAGCCTCCCGGCTCAAACAAATGGAGGGACATGACAGACCACAGTAAAATATACTCAACATAAATACACAAATGCAATTAAATTTTAAACACACATTTATTAAATTCTTGACTATTTTATATAATTAAATAATGGATAACTGATCAGTATCCTACCACATATTTTCTAAGTCAAAATAACACATAATACTACTAACCAAATTACAGCTTACATTAATTAAGATTAACATTGTTTTTTTTTTCAAATTAAGTAGGTGTAACAAAATTTAATCCTCCAAATAACAGGTTCTTATTAATTAAAGTAACGTTTTTCTAGCTCACAAAATTCAGTAGGTGAAACAAATTTTAATCCTCCCAAAACTGGCATTCACTTGAAATTATAAATAACTTATATCAATAACAATTTTTTATTAAGATGGAAAACAGTTTTTTTCCTGATTAGCCAGGATCCTTAGTGTCCAATCCACATGGAAATGAGCCAAGCCCATTTTTCTTGGAAATTACAGTCTAATAATTCTTCAAACAGCCAGGAATCGCTTTACTGTCCATTAGGTGGGAACCAATAGTCCAATTTAGAAGGATCTTTTATCTATGTCCATCTTTTAGGTGGGAACCAATAGTCCAATTCAGAAGGCTCTTTTTCAATTCAATAACAGGTAGCTGAATATACACCATTTTTTTAGCACAATCACGTGCATCATCGAAGCGTCGAGGCAACATTTATGCTGAAGGTTTCGGAAAAAGGCTCTTGGAGATTAACCGGCGATTCAGGTGAAGAGAGAGAATCTGTGCTAAATTTTCTTGGTAGATTTTTCTCTATACATCTCAATCAGCTCTCAGTAAAAATGCTCTTTGCAGCTCGCGCACATTTCTCCATACATCACGCAGGAAAATGTTCCTTGCATCTCGCACAAAACTTTTAAACACCCCGCAGAAAAAGAATTCTCTAGAGCAAAGAAAAACGCAACCCAAGTCCTCTTGCTCGGCAACCGCCGCACGCAAACCGCAGCAGGGCAAAACGCCCTAATTGTTTTTGTATTATGTATATTTTACTGTGTCTGCATTCCCTCCATTTTTTGAGCCGGGAGCTTTAAGAAACTGGAGTTTATTGAATTTGATTTGATATTCCTTTGGCATAGGTTACTCACACGCAAACCTAAAAGTTAAATTGTACTACCACTACGATTGATTGATAGATATGATATACGATTGATTGATAGATTTACTATACGAATATTTATAAGAATGTCGAAATGATATCTGAATATTATGAATTAGATCTTGAATGTGAATTATTTGTTATTTGATTTTTTTTGTTAATTTTGTCCGGCACCATGGATGAGTCAAAGTCCAAAGTTTACAATAGTTTTAAAAACAAAAATTTTAACATAACATTTATTAAATTCTTGACTATTTTATATAATTAAATAATGGATAACTGATCAGTATCCTACCACATATTTTCTAAGTCAAAATAACACCATACTACACACCAAATTACAGCTTACATTAATTAAGATTAACATTATTTTTTTTTCAAATTAAGTAGGTGTAACAAAATTTAATCCTCCAAATAAACAGGTTCTTATAAATTAGAAAGTAACGTTTTTCTAGCTCACAAAATTCAGTA